TCGCATCCGCTTTGTGCTTTTAGTTTAGCAGGAGAATGGAGTTAATTGAAGTCAGATTATGGAGTCTAAAAGTGGTCCATTTAAGTCTTGAGGCGAGACAGACTATAGGGTTTTTGCTCATACCATTCTACAATTAAAGGAAAGGCATGACTTGAACCTACGTTGCAGACACCAAGGTGACAAACTAAATGTGTACATTATTCCCCATTTAAAGTGCTCGATGAATATGCAATCAAATTAAGCATCTTTGCAATCCTAGCCAAACGCACTGTCAGTAGCGGATGATATTTTTCAAACCTTTAGTGATGCTTGCAGAAGGTTCGGACCTGAGCAGGGCTTATCTATTTGAAGTCCCTTTCCTAGAATATTATTATTACTGCCAGTAACAATAATTAATCCAAAGGGCATATCCATATATTTATTCCAGTCTTTCGTCATGTGTGCACATACATGGTTAGAAAGGTTTAACTACAAGCTTGATACATAAATCCCAGCAAGAGAATTACTAATGACGTTATATGGTCCTTTTAGTAGAACGACCCAACCACGGCCTCATTTGGCTACGATTTGTGAGCTGGAAGAGAGACCTTCAAAGTGGAGGAGAAAAAATATTATCAGATCCAGCTTCGATGAGTTTCTTTTCATGGCAGATGGCCTTATAGGACAAGAATAATATGACCAATTAGGCAGACAAAAAATTCAGAGTGTTACTTTCATTAGGATAATGCTTCAAGTCTGATGATATAAACATATTCTTATTATTATATCAGCCAAATTGAATAAAGTGTGATTTGCTGTTAGTAGGTAGATATTCCCAATTATAACAAGGCAAGTGGCAGTAAAGTGGGAACCAAGATACAAGCCGATAAATCACTCAACCAATTATCCCATCGGCATGTGCTACCTTAACTAATCAGCAAATGCCTTACAAGGCTTCGACTCATACGCTCTTCACCGGAGACCAATTCTGACGCAATTTAATTGTCTCATAGTCGTTCAGGTGAGCAATTTTATACTTATTTTTCCCATTTTATTTGCTCAATTCACTAAACCTATTCCTGTTAACTTGCGTAGGAGTAAAACAAATCCACTGCCTGAATGAGGGTCGTCTGCTTATTTGCCGGAAGAATGGTGGTATAAGCCTAATTGATACAACCGGATTTAGGACTGCATCATCATTTCCCTGTTTGAGACCGATGCGTCTTAAACAATCGAATGCAAAAAAAGCAAGTGGTTTTGGAATTAACGGACCTAGCGAATTCATCATCTTTACCCCGGACAGAGAGTGCACCGGACTAACATGCTTCGACAATAATCCTCAGCTCGAGTCGCAAGATTGCAAGGATCAGGAGCATGCAGAGTCGCCAGTCTTCTTTGGCCATATTGATAGCCTAAGGTCGAGTTGCCCACTTGAGGAAAGTGGGCTTGTGGTAACCGGTGGCGGTGTGGGTGACGGACGTATTGCTCTTTGGAATCTGTCAGAGTATATACTTTGAAAATAATACATTGAGATTCCTCATGATGATTTTCATCAAAACCCTCATGACCCTTGTTAACTTCTACTACCTCTCATTTCACTCTCTACACTCTTCTTTGCTGTTTTAAACAACGGCGACGCCAAACTCTGCAATAATTTTCTTAAGCCTAAATCTTAGTTACTTCTGTTATTAATAAAGACCCTTATGATCGCTTACACTGCCTTCTGGACACTGAAACTAACAGAGACCAATACACCCCCAGTATTTGTCAATAGCCAAATAAGCTTTAACGTGTAAACAAAGATAGTCGCTATCTACAGAGATCATCAAGAAGCCTATTTGTAAACTTTCGAAAACCATGTGGTATGCTTTTGAGTATAGCTATTTGGCAGGATGTAAAGAAACTGATGAAGGATGACGGAATAGAGATGGAGGAAGATAATTAAGAGCCTAGATAGACTGAGAAAGAAAGAGAATACTAGATAGTGATAAGGAAAAAAATATTCGTTAATATGGAAGCACTTAGGGAGTTGCTCAGGAGCTGAATGTTAATGATTGGAATAGATGAAGCAGACGGTGTGCAGTATAGGGAATAGGTTGTGGAGAATATCAGTTAATCAAATATATGAATTGTGTTCAATCTATTTCGTTTAAGGTGAAGAGGGACTGGTAGTTGAATTTTCCCACAGTAATATGAGTAGAGCTGATGTTTTTCATTGAATTTCACCAAGCCTTGTTTTACCAAAAGGTGTTATCATCCAAAGTGGATTGCGGTTTCGACCTCGCATAGGTCTTATCAATGCCCCCAGCGGGAGTCGAACAGTGACAGTGCAGCGTATAAGCTCGACACGGTAACCACTACGCTACATTGCCACGGGTGCAGTTGGGTCACAGGGTACATGTCAATTTCAAGAAATGACAGGCATTTTCCATATCACATTCTGTTGGGATTGTCGATGAAGCAGACTTATATTTGCTATAGCAATCGACGGAATTACTTTTTCTCAATAGTGAGTAGATTTCCCATATATCCGATCTACTCGTAGTCTCGAAAACCTACTAATTACGAAAAATGTATTGTTGTCGATTGATATAGTAAATATAAGTTTGCTTCATCGACAATCGTACCAAATAATGTGATATGGAAAATGCCTGACGTTCCTTGAAATTCACATCGGCCATGTGACCCAAGGGCACTCATAGCAATGTGACGGAGTGTTTAACGTGTCGAGCTTACATGCTGCACTGTCACGGTTCGACTCCCGCTGGGGTGTTGATAAGACCTATCCGAGGTCGAAACCGCAGTCCACTTCAGTTTGGATGAGAAGACCTTTTGAGAAAGCAAGGCTATGTGAAATTCATTGAAAAACACCAGCTCTACTCATATGATTGTGGGAAAATTCAACCACCAGTCTTTCATCACCTCAAACGAAATAGAGTGAACACAAATCAGTATAGTGCTGCCAAGCAGAAAAGGCGTCATGATCCGATGGTGTATAGAGGCACAACATGGGCCCGTCGCAACTATTTAAAGTCGACTCATATTGCCTCGTAGCAAATAGTCCCGCTTTATTTTTACGACGTCTGAGTACAGTCGTCCTGACCTTTGAGGTTCAAGAAACTTTGTCATGATGCAGAAACGGAGAAGCTGCACGCAATGGCAGTCATTTCGATGGGGATCTGATACAGCGAGTTGGCCGAATAAAGGCTAGGACGCTGTAATCAGGGCATCCTATTTTTCAGAGCCAAAGGTTTGGACTTTCAGTTTGCAATTCGTCAAAGCGAGACGCAGAGGATGCGTGGAGATGTGATACTGAGGCAGATTACGAGGAGTTGTGTCCACATACCTTGGGATAATGGACGTTTGAAGGTGCCTTATCAGTTGTGAGTTCCTTCAACAAAAAATGTTGAGGTATCTGAAGGACTGCTTCTGAGTGATGTCGGATAGTTGGTTCTGCTTTTGAGCAAGGGATCAGATGTGTAAGTTGATCGGTAGAGTGCATGAAACAAGCCTAAGAATTTTGGGCTATATGGTTTATGTTTTGCCTGTGGGTAAGAGATGAAACTTTGTGGAAAACTACCTGTTGCCCCTAAAATAGAGGAAATTTATTAAGCGACGAGAGTAGCACACCAACAAGGTTGATAGGCATAGAAAAATTAAATTCCTCCCTACTTAGGAACTAAACTCGAAGTGATGCTCTGGAACAATATGATCTTGGTATTTTGCCAATAAAAATAACCTCATATCCTTAAGAATGGTAGAACCAAGAAGAGATACAGAATAGCCGAAAACGTTATCTCCCTAAAAAACAAAGATTTCCACTTCCCTAGTTGTGTCGTACTGGTTAAATTCACGGTCGATTATTAGAGCATGATTTAATTCTGAGATGCATTCATCATATTTCGTTTAAGGTGATGAAAGATTGGTAGTTGATCTTTCCCATAATGTTACAATTACAGCAAATTTCACAAAGGCATGATTCCCAAAAGGTATTCTCATCAGCACACACAGTGGAAGTCGTACCCAGC